AGCAGCACTCGGTGGAAGAGTTTAATTGCCTGACGAGGCTGACATGAGTCCCGGTTGCACCTGTGGTACAACAAAGCAATACTGACAAAGTTGGAGGAAGGCTCGTGTGGGTACTAGGCCTGCCTTGGATGTAGCCTGTGCTTTTGTTAGCCTGATCAACAGGCTTGCATCTTTAGCTGCAACTTCAATACTGCGTTACTCCCTGTCAAAAAAGAAATGCGATATCAAGATTAAAAAAGGGGTGGGGGGGGGGGAAAGGTGTAGTAGATGTGTTCCCAAGTTCATCAATAAGTTCTTAGTTTCTTGAATAGCTTCTTGCCTATTAATATAATGTAGTTATGAAGTATAGTTTTAATATAATTTTCAGAGCTTCAGGAGTTAACTGCATATATTTTTTCCTAAAGGACTTATCATTTTTCAAATTATCTTTTTGAAGCCATTTTAAATGATGCTATCCTGATGTTTTCTGATACTTCACGTCCAGTGCCTAGAACAGCAACGTTAGGCACCTACACCTTCTTGTGGCACTATTTTAAAGCAGGATATCGGTGTCATCATAATACATAACCCTGTGGACTTTGAAATGGTGCTGTTGATCAAACCGGTTGTTGCAAGGAAGGAAAGAGATATAACCGAACAGGAAATAGGTGATATTTGCATTGGGGTGAGTTAAGTAACATGAGGTTATCATAATTAAGTTGCTGCCATTTTCAGATGGGTCAGAAAGCGTGATTGTGAAATATGTAAAAAGAGACTTATGCTAAAAAGTAATACATTTGTAAGAAACACCTTTATCTCACTACTTGAATTACTTTCAGGCACACATTTCATGCATTTCATTCCATTACAAGAAAAAAAGTAAACTGTTGTCTATATTAAAAGGAAGCACATGAATTTGTGTGCTTCAGTTGATTTCCAGTTGTTTTTTCTGTGGCTTAGATTTTCTTGTCAAGGGAATGTGTCTGTTTTTGTTATGTATGCTCAGCTGTAACGCTCATCTTAAGTTTTTGAAATGTGTTATTTATGGGGATAAGTTAAACCGGCCTCAAGGTAAACAACTTCATAGTGTCTGGATGATGTGTGGTTTGTGACATGTTGATAGCTTTATAGATACAGGGTTTTTTTGTTTTTTGGTTTTTTTTTGAGACTACACATTCTTGCCATTTAGTCTGAATCTTGAATGACTTTCTAACTGAGAATTTCTTTTTATTATTTTTTTTTAATTATGGCCACCCCCTTTACCCTTCTTCTCCTGCCCTATATGTTTTCTAGCTTAAGGTCAGGCATCTTACTGTAATTGAGGGTCTATATCATATGCTTGAGGACTTGGGTCCAGAAGACTATCAAAGATAGTACTCTAGACTTCTTGGCTTTCTTTAGCGTGCTGAGGCAAAATTGTGGCAATTCAGAAACTACTTTGTGAACAAATTGAACACCTCTATCCCAGGGACAGCAGTGGATAGGTACCTGGGGATGATAACAGCTTCGACTTTCCAATTTGAATCCATCAAGTCTGACAGAGCTGTATGGTACTCTGTATACCGTTGATCTTCTAATTTGAGTACAACTCAGTGTCAGTGTGCTATGCTATTTTTTTGTTTGTTTGTTTGTTCTTTACTATAACGTTATATTTGATATTTTAGTAATATCCATGTTTGGAATTAGTCATTATTGAAGCTTTAGACAGTAAATATTACTAGTAAACAAAAATTTTGCAAGTTTCACAGGATGTTAAAAGTTTATTTTGACTTGGGCGGAATTGACTGTGCTACCTGGCTACTGCAGGTGGTATTTGCATCAGTTTGGACGTGGATATGCTACCGGATGTGAAGAGTAATAAACTGAGAAAACTGCTTTTAAAATGCATTGAGCATAATACAATTGTATTTGTCAAAGCCAAAATACAAGTTGCAATAATCATTGAGATAAAAGAGAATAAAAAACTGAATGGGAGCCTTAGTTCTTAATTGGTAAGACGTAAAGATTTTTATCGGGAAAGAGCCCGTAAGACTTCTTGTGCGTATGAAAACAGCATGAACTAAGACTTAAAGGCAGCTTGCAAACCAACAGACAAGTTTATGTGACTGTGAAGTATTTCAGTTGTGCTTATGCTGCTGGCTGTGCATCCATAAAGGTATCCGAAAGGTTGAGGTCCTAGCCTGAATAGGAGGCATTTCTAGGAGAGAGAAGAAGTAGTGAATCACCAGTTTAGAAGTGGTAGTTATCTCATTTAGAAACATACAAAGAGATGAGATGCAGAGGGGGAAGACAAAGCATAAAGGATAAGGCCCTGTAGGAGGCAGGAATATTAAGAGTTACATACACGTTTCTTTTGAGGTCTTTGTCATGTTTTATCAAAAGGCATACAACTTCTTTGTATGCCTCATTAATATCCAGTGGAGTAATTTCTCTAAACAACTTGTTAGCGATCGTCTTCCCTTCTAGACAGAATCTCATTGGTTTTTTTTTTTTTGGTGACAGTTCCTTTGAACTAAACTTGTGCCTACAAAACTGATTCCTCACAGGAAGAGGTCAAATTGGACTCTTTGCAGCAAGTGGCTTAGCCATTGTCCTTAAACTGCTTTCATGCATCTACAATAGGGTTACTTATCATAAAATATTTCATGCTTATTTTCCTCATAGCTTGCTCTTGGACTGCAGTTGCGAAATGTGCTGAAAACAAAAGATTGTTTAGTCGTGGGTGAGAAATGTGTTGAGACCACGTATGAACACTCGAGTAGGCATTTGTGTCCCATAGTTGTTCGTATTTGAAACAAAGCATTGAGTCACCAAGAATGGGATTCGGTTCAGGATTAAGAGAGAGCAATTTAGGTGTTTGAGTTCCATTATTGTCAATAGGCGTGACTGGCTTCCGTCTAGATCTCTTAGCTTTAGACATGTACAACTAAGTATCAACTGAATTTCTGTTTTGGCTCCTGTGACTGTATTGGTTACATCTCTCCCGAGTATGCTGGTAGCAAAGAGATGTAGTTCACGTGTCAGACACCTACATGTAGGTGTCTTGACCTCTAAGTTCTACAAATTTCAGTCAGTGTGTATTTCTATCAGAGTGTTATGTGTTGCTAAACATAGAGAAGGCTTTTCTACTCACTTTTTAAAAATTTTTGAGAATAGCTCTTGAGAATTCTCCGGAGCTTTTGCATTCCCTTCTGAGCTACTTTGCAGACCTTTTCTGTTTTGAGTGTAGTTGAGCGTCAGGAGTGTCTGAGCATCTCTGTGGCTAATTAGCCTGTAAAAAACATCGCCCATGCTTCTGATAAAATGCTGTGGTGTGCAGATGCAGCAGGGATGAAAGCAATTTGTACTCACACGCTGTCGTGTTGTAATTTATTAGCTCTTCACAGCTAAGAATCAGGTAGCGTTTCGGAGAGTGCAAAGTTGGAGCCTACGTTTTAATGTAGGATGCAAACGAACATCCATAAGATGTTTTGACTGCAGGATTTCCACCAAGGTGTCCAGATCTCACCTGCTCAGGCGAACGCCTAAGGAAGAGGTAGTTTTTTTGTGAGAAGTTAAAGATTGTTTGAGTTTGCTATTTCATGCAAGTATGTAAATAGAAAGACTTTGCTCCTCCTTTAATGAAGAATTCATGTGATTTCTCTGCATTATCTGATCATAAGCATCACTGTCATCACTGGCATGTTTTCTCTGGGAATGTTTCTTTTGGAACTTTGAATGAATTTAATGTGAACCCAACTTGATGAATCCTGTATACTCTACTTAATACATCATCCAATTTCAGGGGAAGAAGGGTAATCATGGAGGATACTCAGACTTAAAACTTTGACTCTCCTGTTTCAATGGAGTTTTGGTATTTCTGGCAGAAGAAGCTTCCGTGTCTATTCTGAAGAGCTTTTTATGACTGTTACTGCTGTACTAGTAGTGTCTCTGGTAGTGCAGGGATTAAATTTGTTTACTGCCGTCACTGGTAAGTATTGGTTATAGGTACCACTAGCAGCGGCAATTGCCACTGGTGGCTCCTGGCTCAGTATATGGAGCCTGTATAATGTTGAAGCAGATTGCGTATGATGAGCGATAGTCATTTGGAAACTCTGCAGCAGTTCTCTAACTGGCATAGCAAAAGGCTTAGTTCTTTCATGGATCTTGTATCGGCAGAGCTGTATTCAGTAGAGGTGGGTTTTGGTGAAGTCATAAGTGTTCTGTTTGTCAGAGAACATATACTATTCATTTAAAGGAACGTGGTAAGGTTTATGGTGTCCTTTCTTCCAATGAGTCTTTCATAGGCTTGTCCTCTCTCCTGAGAGATCTTTATAATACAGAATTAAAATTTAGTATAGTGCGGAAGACTCATGGTTTCATGACTTAATGCCTAAATAATGTTACTACAGTAATAGGAAGTAACAAAAATGTGCCATGGGCACTAGACGGAGTTGCTTTTTGGTATACTAGGGCATAATTTCCTCAAGAAGCCTTGGCAATTAGTGTTACTTGTTACGTGGGCGCAGAGGGAATCTTTTATTTGCTGGTTTGTTAGTAAATAAATTATACAAACTGGATTTAGCAGAACTAAGTGTATGTCTTCATGGGTAGTTTTAAGTAGTCCACTTCACCAGGACATGATTCAGCCATAGACAGAAGCTGTGCAAAATATCTTTGTTTCTCGGCATGTTTGCTTGGGTACACTGCCACGCAAACTTCTGCGGTTTCCAGGCATGTTGCTCATGTCTGTCTAGCTAAGGAAGATAAACTGTTTATCTTGCCTTCATAGACAGATCCAGATACATCCCAAATTCTAAGGTGTGCTATGACCTTTGTGTCACAGGAGCAGTGTACTAGAAGGGCCGAATGGGAAAAGCAAAGATGTAGTGCAGGTAGTCATAGGGATGCTTACCTAAGTAAGCTGCTCGTTTGCCTAATTCTTCAGGTTTGGTTATTTTCAGCTACCTCTGCATTAAAGGCAGACAATTTCTCTGGTAGCGTTTTATCTTTATATTGTGCATGGCATTTTAGGAATCTCAAATTAAACTGCCTATATTAAGAATATGTGGTTCTGGAAGAAGCTCCTTAAAGCATCTTACGAATTACTCAGTTCCTGTACACTTTTAACATTCTGTAAAGGATATCACTGCTGGCAAGGAAACTACTGCTATAAGAGCTCCATGAAATACTGGCAAATTCACTATACCAGATTGAGACTTACCTCAGTCACTTGCTTCCACCTGTGCATTCCTATCTTGGTGAGATTGTTTTCCCTGTGCTCTTTAATCAACTATCTTCAAAATCCGTACACTAGACAGTTTTTTTTTTTTTCCTGTTTGATATAAGTTTGCTGAGAAACAGTGTTAATGCGTTTTATGCTTCTCTAGCATGTCTAGTTTAAAGCTGAAAGATTGCATTAAGGCTTGCTAATCAAGGTCGTAAGTGTTTCCATTTCTGTAACATAATTTCCTACACTATTTTTTCCCCTTCCTAAGTTTATACGTAATGCAAAATTCCCCTGCGTTCATCTCATTTGTCTTCAAAGTGAATGTGTTACTTTGCCCTGATCTCCCCTTGTTAATTAGCCTGTGTGCAGCATCAGAATGGTATAGTTATGCAGGAACCTATTTGTGCTCACTAAGCATATTTTGCATGCTGGGGCATTGTGCCTGCAGTTTGAAAAATACTGACCTAATGAAAGAA